TCCCCCTCCCCGTCTCCCTCCACGGGGCAGACGCGGGCGCCGGCCTAGGACCTGGCTCTCCAGCCAGCAGCCCTGCCCTGCTCTCGGGGCCACCCTGCCTCCCGGAGGTGCCGATCAGGCCCTGCGTCCTGGGCCTCACACCAGCTGGTAACCCTGGGGCGGCTCCTCTCCCCACCAGGAACTGCGAAGCGGGGCAGTGTGTCCTGGAGCCTCATGAGCTCCTCAGGAACAAGTAATTTACCTGACAAAAAAAGCGGGCAGAGGAGCCAAAGTGGTACATGCCTCAGGAGGCTGAGGCAGGAGGATCTCAATTTCGAAGCCAGCCTGAGCAATTTAGTGAGACTCTGTCTCAAAATAAAAGGGGACGTGGGTGTATTGCAGTGATAGAGCCAGCACCAGCACAAAACAAACAACAAGGCTCAGACCAGAAGCTGGCCAAGTAACTCGTATACATGTGGGTTATTGTTAGAATTTTGTTTTGTTTTGTTGTTTTTTGAGACAGGGTCTTGCTATATATAGTTCAGGCTGGCCTTAAATTCACTATTGTAACCCAGGCATGGTGGTGCATGCCTGTAATGTGAGAGCTTGGGAGGCCGAGGCAGGAAGATCGCTGTGAGTTCAAGACCAGCCTGGGCTACATAGTGAGTTCTAGGTCAGTCTCAACTACACAGTGAGACCCTGTCTCAAAAAAGACAAACAAGCAAAAACTTACTGTTGTAGCCTGGGCTGGCCTCAGATTTGTGGTGACCCTCCTGCCTCAGCCTCCCAAGTGCTGGGATTACAGGTGTGCACCACCATGCCCAGTCACAGGCAGGTGTTTTGTCAGCGCCCCCTCCCCTAAACTACAGGCAGGCCTTGCCCCCACGTGCTCCTCCCATGATGCTCTTGTCCTCCCATCATGCCCAGAGTCTTTCCTGCCTTCCCCGTCTGTCCCCAAGGCTGAGTAGGTGCGGCAGGCAATGGAAAAGGAAGGGAGAGGTCATGGGACCACAGTGACCTGGGTCCTTGGCAGGTGCTATATCACGCTGACCCAGTCCCTCCATCTGATCATGGGTGGAGCCCCCGCGGGCCCCGCCGGCACCGGCAAGACCGAGACAACCAAGGACCTGGGCCGAGCTCTGGGCACGATGGTGTATGTCTTCAACTGCTCCGAGCAGATGGACTACAAGGTACAGGGCCACGGGTCCCACGCAGGAGGGAAGACTGGCCCAGCAGTGCCCGGGGTTCCCACTGCTAGCCCGTGTCCCACCTGCGTCCAGCGATCAGAGCCTGTAGGCAGAGGCTCGGGGTGGCACAAGGAGTACGCACGGGGTCAGGTGTCCCCTCTGCCCCAAGGACCTCAGGACCCCGCCAGTGCTGACTGCGCTGTCAGGAGAGGGACCTCTGTGGCCGGGCACACAGAAGGGGGGCGGCAGGGGTGGTGGCCAAGCCAGGATGCAGGCCTGTGGGCGCCCCGCACCTCTGTGTCTGCAAGGGGCTCCCTGAGGCTAGGACGAGGCCCGTGGTTTCTGACCATCAGGGTCAGACCATCCACACCAGCATCCTGGGCTCAGGATGAGTGGAATCCAAAGTCGGCACCCCTAGAACCCCTAGCTATGTGTCGGAGAGTCACCCTGGTGAGCAGCAGGGCCACCGTGACACAGACCGCAGGAAAGTCTCCCAGCAGCTTGTGGCCCTGCGCTGCCTCCTGGTCAGGGACGCCCGAGGCCTGGGACAGCAGGGCTGGGTGGGGAAGCGCACACCAGCTGGCCCTCGGCCTCCACTGCAGCCTGTGTGCTGGGAGCCACATGCCCTGAGGCCCCGGGTGTCCCCATGCCTGTTCTGTGTTCAGTCTGGGAGCCAGGACAAGCAGGGCACCGGCTGCTGCCTTGCTCTGACCACCACCACCCGCCATCCCACCCTCCCCAGTCCTGCGGGAACATCTACAAGGGCCTGGCGCAGACCGGGGCCTGGGGCTGCTTTGATGAGTTCAACCGGATCTCGGTGGAGGTGCTGTCTGTGATCGCGGTGCAGGTAGGGTGGCCGGGGGCTGCTCTGCTAGGGTGGGTGGGTGGGCGGTGACCAGCTGGGCCTGCGGTCCCCCAGCCTCCACCCACTCAGCACACAGAGAGCACTGGGGATCCAGACACAGAAGAGGGAGGCTAATTCCGCCTGGGGATACAGCAGATAGAGTTGCAGGTCTTCACTGGCTTTTTTGTGGTTCCAAAGTCATGCGGTAGTCTAGACCTAAAACCATCCAGAGTGTGCCGGCCACCCTGAGGGCAGATCATGCTCCTCCTGCCTCAAGAGAGTGAGGCAGGACAGCGGATTGGCTACAGCTGGTGTCCGTCTTATTTGAACACTCATCTGTGCCTGTGATTGGCTGGGGATGGTGGGGTGCGTCTGTAGTTCCAGCCCTCAGGAGGCGGAAGCAGGAGATTCACCCTGAGTTCAAGGCCAGCCTGGGCTACACAGCTAGCAAGACCCTGCCTCAAACAAGAAGAGGAGTAGGTTATAGTGTGTGTGTGTGTGTCAAGTGAAGTTACAGTTCATTATGTCCCTATGTAGAGAGAACCCAGTCAAAGTTAAAAGACATACGGAGTCAACTTTAGGCCGAAGAAGGCAGAGAAACAGGACTTTGCTATAGGAATTCATGGAGTTGGGTGCTGCGGGGTGCATAGGAGTTCCTCAGACAAGGGCACTGAAAGAGAATAGCAGGAAAGGAGGAAACGAACCTGTGTATTTTGGGGATACCTCTGAGGGGAACACAGGAGGGCAGTGGGGAGACCAAGGAAGGCAGAAGTGAGGTCCTCAGACCAGGAGAGCCCTGTGTCAGCTTCCCCAGATGCTGTCAGCCGCCTGAGCATTTCTGTCCCTTAAACGAGAGCCTGCTCAACTTGAGAACCACTGGGGCCCTCGAGGTAAACTGAGGCCAGCCTCTAGTTCAGGGGTCAACTTCGAGATTCTAGAAGGAGAAGGGAGGAGATTGAGGGTCCTGAGACCCCTCCCCAGTGTGCCGTAACCACAGGCAGAGGGGCCTGGGCAGCTCAGGACCCCGGCCCCAGGGCGGTGACTCCCCAGATCCCTGGGCCTCTGTCCCTGCTCTATGCAATGGGTGAGAACACAGGCCTGCTGGTGGGGTCCCGGGGTGTAGTAAGAATTGAAATTAAAGATCAAGCACACAGTTATGGGAAAAAGCTTTCACTAGAAAGGAGAGAAAAGGGTAAGGGACTTTAAGTTGGGGATCTGGCAGAGGTCAGGCCAGCCCTCAAGAAAGAAGAGAGGGAGGGACAGGGGAGGGCGCAGCCCCCGCCCGCTGTGAGGGGCGCTGGGGGGCTGGGGGGCCACACCCAGGCCTGGCTTCCCAGCTCTGGAGAAATGAGCAGGCTGAGGGGTGGCTCTGTCCCCACCATCAGCCTGTTCCCATCCCCTGAGGCTGAGGGGAGGGCAGGGGCTGGGAACAGCCTGGGGAGGGGGGAACAAACACACTTAAGCCCAGAAGAAAGCACAAACCATTGTATGAGCAGCAGTTAAGTGCCCCAGGTTGTCCTTTGCTGGCAAGGCTGCTGTGTCAGGACTGTCGGCCCCTGCCTTCCCCGCCCTGTGCCCTGCGCTCTAAGTGGGACTGGTCAAGGCCCTGTGACCTTCCGGGTCCCACGGTTGCCACCAGAAACCCTAGAGCGTTTGTGTGGAGCCCCTGGAGGCACCAGATGTCTGCGGGCGGGTGCAAACCGGGAGCAGGAAGATAGGGAGGCTGTGCAGCCCGAGGTGTCCCCGCCCAGCCCTGTCCTACCTGGTGCCAGCAGAGGGAACCCCAGCCTGACCCGGGCAGGGAGCTGACGGTGCGGCCGTGAGCGCTGGGCACCCCCTGGTGGTAATTTGGAGATGTGCAGCCCCAGCCAGCTGCGGGCGAAATTCCCAGTTCTAGGCTGAAGTCCCGAGGGGTGGCTGGTCTCAGAACTCTGACAAGGAGATGGCTGCTGACCGATCTCCTGAGGGCCACTGCCAGCGTAGGAACAGCACAGGAGGGGGCTGGAGGTGTAGTACTTCCCACGAGGACGACGAGGAGCATCTGCCGAGTTTGGTTGAGACAAAAGCCCACCTCAGGTCACATCCTCTGTGGTGGACAACAGATGTCCACACATGGTGCACAGGCAGGGTGCTGGCCGGGGCCAGGGAGAGGAAGGGGAGGGCAGTGGTGACCGAGGGGCCACGCGGACCCGCAGCCGCCACGGCGGGACGTAACAGGGAGACGGGCGCCCACGCGCAGGTGAAGTGCATCCAGGATGCCATTCGGGCCAAGAAGAAGCTGTTTAACTTCCTGGGGGAGCGGATCAGCCTCATCCCCACCGTGGGGATCTTCATCACCATGAACCCGGGCTACGCGGGGCGCACGGAGCTGCCCGAGAACCTCAAGGCCCTGTTCAGGTGCGTGGGGGGAGAGCGGCCAGGCGGGGGCACCGCACGCCAGCTGCGAGGTGGAGGCAGGGTGGGCGGGTGAGGGGCACCCAGGGCCGACACAGCTCTCCCCAGGCCCTGTGCCATGGTGGTCCCCGACTTCGAGCTGATCTGTGAGATCATGCTGGTGGCCGAGGGCTTCCTAGAAGCCCGCCTGCTGGCCAGGAAGTTCATCACGCTCTACACCCTGTGCAAAGAGCTGCTCTCCAAGCAGGTGCGTGCTCACCATCCCTGGGGCTCGGACCCGGCCGTGGGAACAGGGCTCCACATGCCTCAGTGCCCAGGCAGCCCGCAAGGGCACTCATGTCCACCTGTGCCCCACAGGATCACTACGACTGGGGCCTGCGGGCCATCAAGTCTGTGCTGGTGGTGGCCGGCTCCCTGAAGAGGGGGGACCCCACCAGGGCCGAAGACCAGGTGCTCATGAGGGCGCTGAGGGACTTCAACATCCCCAAGATCGTGACCGACGACCTGCCCGTGTTCATGGGCCTGATCGGGGACCTGTTCCCGGCTCTGGATGTGCCTCGGAAGCGAGACCTGAATTTTGAGAAGGTGGGGGGCGACGGCTGGACCTCGACCCATGCTGGGGAGCTTCCCAGCCGAGGGCCCGATTATACTTAGGACCCAATTATACTTAGGACCCACAACACGGGCTGCTGGCCAACTCCATCAGCCCAAGAGGGCCACACAGGCAGGTCCTCGGGCCACCAGCTGCCTCTCGCCCCGGCCATCCCCACCCTCTTGTGGGGGGCTCCCAGCAGCTGGGTCTCAGGCCACGCTGGCAGCAGAGCTTGCAGGAGGCAGGCGGGTCCTGGCCAGAAGCGCCCTGCCCTGTGTCACCACCTTCACTGGGCAGGAGGCCCCCGCGCCGCCACCCCAGCCTTGCCTGTGTCCCCAGATCATCAAGCAGAGCATCGTGGAGCTCAGGCTGCAGGCGGAAGACAGCTTCGTGCTGAAGGTCGTGCAGCTGGAGGAGCTCCTGCAGGTCCGGCACTCCGTGTTTGTCATTGGGAACGCGGGCAGCGGCAAGTCCCAGGTGCGTCCCGTCCTCACCCGCAGGGACCGGGTACAGCCGCACGCGGGTCCCAGCCTGAACGGTGTCCGGAGCAGGAAGCAGGGAAGGGACACCCACGGGCGCTGGGCCCACTGGGGAGCCTCTGCCAGGTTCTCCCGCTTCCTGATCCCCTCTCCCCACACTCACCAGTCACCTGCCACCCTGCAGCGCCACCTCCTGTCCCTTCCTGTGAATGGCAGATCCCCGGGCCATGGCGAAAGCAGAGGGCCACAGCAAGGTCACCAACGCCTGTGACCTGGAAATTCTAAGCCAGCCAGGTGTTCGGCAAGACACCCAGAGGATCACCTATTGTGCCGTTGTTAAAAATGGTTTCCCACTGAGCTACATCCCCACACCCTGTAATTTTGTCTTATTTAGAGACAGGGTCTCACCAGGTCAGTAAGTTGCCCAAGGTGGCCTCAAATGTTTGATCCTCCTGCCTCAGCCTCCCAGAGTCCTGGGGTGATAGGTGTGCACCGCACACTGACACTTACACTTGTTTATTTGCCTGTCTGTTTCAATGAGCTTGCACTGCCTGTACTACAACTGAGAAACAAATGTGGGGGTTTCTGGGTCCCCCCATCTCCAGAGCACTCTGGGGCCCGCAGGGTGAACCACGTTTGGGGGATCTGCCACGACCGGGGAGGCAGCACCCACAACACAGCCACCGAGGCGAACCGTCCGAGGGCGTGGAGCGCAGGTCCTGGGCCTGGTGGGGCTCGCGGCGTCCGGTCACACGTGATGGCCTCCGCCCTGCCAGGTCCTCAAGTCCCTCAACAAGACCTACCAGAACCTGAAGAGGAAGCCGGTGGCCGTGGACCTGGACCCCAAGGCCGTCACCTGCGACGAGCTCTTCGGGATCATCAACCCCGCGACCAGGGAATGGAAAGACGGTAAGGAGCAGCGGTGGACAGCAGAGAGGCCCCGGCCTCCACTGAGTCAGCCCAGCTCCCTAGAGGCCTGCGGCAGGTCGCGGCCCAGAGCGATGGCGCTGCCTAGAGGGGCACCAGGCGGGAGAAGGGACCGGAGACCCGTGGGCCAAGGGGAGGGGCAGGGTGCCCTGGGGTGGGGCTTCCCGGAAGTGGCTGATCAGGTCTGTTTATGAACGAATGCACCAAGTTGGGGCGGCTGAGGATGGGCCCAGGCTGGGGCCCTGCCCCGCACCTCACAGGTGCTCCCTAGGCTGCCACCCACTCCTCCCACTCTGAGCGGTGGATGAAGGCAGGATTGGGGAGCAGAGCACAAGGGCGACGCTGGTCTGGCTTGTGGAGCCTCCTGGAAGGACTGACCCAGAGCGGAGCCCAGGAGAAGGAGGGACAGTGTGGGGAGGGACGCGGGTCACGGGGGACAGGCCAGAGCCGGGGTGTGGAGAATATGGAGGAGGAGCCGGCAGTCACCGGCGCAGAGGAAGGGAGGGAGCCGAGCCTGCCACCTCCTGTCCCTCTTCACGGGGACAGGCCACCCAAGAGAAAGGCAAGGCCGGGGCGCGCGTCCCAGAGCTCCCGGTGCTGCCCGGCCCTCCCCACGGGGCTCCGTGTGTGACGCTGGCGGCTCCTCTTAGGCCTCTTCTCCACCATCATGCGGGACCTGGCCAACATCACGCACGACGGCCCCAAGTGGATCGTGCTGGACGGGGACATCGACCCCATGTGGATCGAGTCCCTCAACACCGTCATGGATGACAACAAGGTACGTGAGCTGCTGGGTCCCACGCCGGCCTGGACCTCCGCACAGACTCCGCACCCGCCCCACCTCGAGGGTCCGGGCAGGGGCACGAGCGTGTGGGGGTGAGGACGGGGAGAGCTACCCTCAGTTCACACGTGCACGCCACGGAGGACAGAAGCGGCATTCAGGATCGTCTGGAAGCATCATCTGCGGGGAAGGGAGGGCTGCGTGGGCATGCAGTGCTGTCCTAGGGCGCTGGGCGCTGTGCAGGTCCAGACCCGCCTGCCTGGTCCTGGTGCAGGCTCAGGGTCGAGGGGGCCCAGAGGCCAGCATGGCTGAGAGGCGCTGAGTCCGCCTCGGAAGCCGGGCCAGGCCTCCCGGCAGCTTCTCCCAGTTCCAGGACTCTGTTGGGATGGTGTGTACCTCCTGCTGCCACTGTGTGGACTTGATGTCCCCTAGGTCCTCACTCTGGCCAGCAACGAGCGCATCCCCCTAAACCGCACCATGAGGCTAGTGTTTGAGATCAGCCACCTGAGGACAGCCACGCCGGCCACCGTCTCCAGAGCCGGCATCCTCTACATCAACCCGGCGGATCTAGGCTGGAACCCGTGAGTAGGGCCTGGGCTGTCCCACTCTGACCTGGCAGAGGAAGAGGAGGAGGTGGCTGAGTCCTAGCTTCGTGTGTAGCCACCCATCCTCCTGTTCATGTCCTAAATACGGTGTACGGCTTCTCCTCATTGTCACGGAAACACGAGGATGGGACAGGTGTATGAGTGAGGTGTGCGCACGGTGATGTTGACACACACAGCCAGGCGTGCAGGGCCGAGGGAGGGGCTCAGCCCTGTGGAGACCTGAGTCTTCCCAGAGGAAAGGGAGCGTGCAAAGTGGACGGAAATGGGGCCCACCTTGCAAACAAGAACCAGCCACTAGGGGTTGTTGTATTACAGAGTATTTGGCTTCTTTTTAATGCTAATCTTTTCAGAAACCACGCTCTCCTCAGATCCTAGCGTTACAAGTGCCGCCCAGCTTTCTGGCCAAACTTCACATCATTTGGCACTACTTTTCCCTTCTAATTTTCACTGTAAATCTGTCCAGAAGCCCATACCACAGAACCCATACTACAGCCTGAACGTTAGACGGCCTTGAAACTTAACTTCACCAGGTTGATGCGTCAATCACCTTTAAATTCAACCTCATACGAAGTATTAGGATATGAACAAAATGAAAATGAGTTCTCGGCCAGAGTGAAACATGCGTGACCTCTAGTCCATTTTCTGATAGAGTCCTTGTTCCCAACTGAACCCTCACAAACCTGACCTTGAGTGTCCTCTTCCCTATCAGCTTTCTGGTCTCCTGAGCTCCCACCAGAACGGCCCATCAATCTTTGTTTACAACACTCAAAGTTTCCTCTAAACCTCTCTCAACTCTTTCTGCAAACTACTTTCAAATGCTTCTGAACCCCACATAGTCAGGTACAGTCACAGCAACAATCCGTCTCCCGTATCGGGCACTTTCCAGACGCTAGGATACAATACTTGACACCCGCAACTTAAAGGAGGGGTTTGATTGGGCTCACAGTCCTGGGGGTTCAGTCCATTGTCAACTGGCGGCAGCAGCATGGTGAGAGGACCTGACAGAAGGGCCGGACCTGTGCATCGTGCCCCTAGGACCCTCCAGTCAGCACCTACCTTTGACTTTTAGGACACATTTTAGATTTAAGTCAGAGGGTGACCCTGTCCTTTCTCCATACATGATCACATGCTAAGGTTCCAAACTGATGTCTTTCGTGGGGTCTCTCTTCTGCCCACCAGCACCTTTGAGATTTCAGGGTGGGAGAAAGTAGGGTAAGGAGACAGGAGCTCCTGAGATGCAATGGACAGTAAGACGACAGGATTGTGGAGTGTGCAGGGGACAGACAGCCAAGGGAGCAGGTTAGAGAGGGCCATTGTAGGCAGAGGCAGGGCCTGGACACCCTCAGGACACCGCCCCAGAGGTAGCATGTGAAAATCTGCGGCATGTGAGGAATGAGGTGCCGGGAAGCAGGTGCCGACCCTGATGGGGCAGCCCTGGCACAGGCCACTGCAGAGCAGGCAGGGACTCGGGGCCAGGAGCTGGCCTGACTGCAGGGATGTGGGCCCCAGCTGCTTGTGGAGGCCAGGCAAGGAGTGCCTGGACGTGGCGGAGAAGGCAGACCTGAGCTCACGCACGCGTCTCTCCCGGCTGGGGCCGCCAGTGGGAGTCGGCGTGCACTTCAGCACGCAGTGAATAACCCTGCCAGGCAACACTAAGACCGTGACAGAAGCTGGGCACAGTGGTGTCTGCCATCACCCCAGCACTCTGGGAGGCCGAGGCGGGAAGATCACAAGCTTGAGCCCAGCCAGTACAACTTAGTAACTTAGTGACACCCTGTCTTAAAATTTTAAAAAACTTAGGGGTGTGAAATGTGACCCTAGTTTCACCCCAGAACCTAGTACAACTTAGTAACTTAGTGACACCCTGTCTTAAAATTTTAAAAAACTTAGGGGTGTGAAATGTGACCCTAGTTTCAATCCCCAGAACCCCCCCCAATTAAAAAAAAAACAGACACCTTCAAATCATCAGGAGAAGCAGCAGCCATGTGAGACTGTGCAGCGGCTCCAGCTGCCTGGGGGCTCGGGGCTCCCCAGCGCCAGCACAGGGGCACATGGGACACTCAGACTGTACAAAGCTTTCCAGGTCCGTAGGATAGGAAGGCACTCGCCTCACAGAGGGGCGTGTCAGGCTGCGGGACAACAGCCTCTGTGTTTGGTAACGTGAGCTTCCTGCTTACGCCTCGGGCATCCTGGAAATGACGCCCCCACTGAGCTCACTGACCCCCGAGGGAGCCCAGGCTATCTGTTTATAGATGAGCAGCCAGGACCCGGACCTGCTGGGGAGCTGGCCCTGCTTCAGCCCATGCAGGCCCAGTCCTCGCCCCTCGCTGCTGGGCTGGGGTGTGATTGTGTAGCAGGCAGTCTGTGCGGGTCTTCGAGCGGGGGTTGCCTTAGACGTTTTCACTGAGTGACAAATCCAGCTCAAACTAAAGGCAGTGTGTGTGTACCCGGGCCCAAGCCACTAAGGGATACGTAAGGCTGGATCCAAAGGTCCCAGTGACGTAATGAGATACCCCTGCTCCTGTCTTCTCTCATCCCTCCTCTGTCTGCCTTCCCCTGGATGACGACATGAGAACCACCTCCTCTCCTTCCATCCCCTAGCCCTTGGTACCAGCTACACTGAGGGCAGGTGCTTTCCAGGTGGTAACAAGGATGGCTCCCCGCTGCGCTGGGCGTGGAGAAGCAGCGCAGGCCCCACTGCCCCAGCGTTATCAGCTGGACCTGGAGGCCCCCTCAGTGGGACCCAAGGCCATATAGGAGCCTCCAGTCTGAGGCTCGGCCCTGCACCATGGCCCCTGCCAGAACCACACAGAAGGGGTCGGGGGGTGAGGGGCACCTGGAGGAGGGCTGTGGGCTGGACCCAAAGCAGCAGCCACCGTCCTCTCCAGGGTAGTGAGCAGTTGGATCGAGAGGCGCAAGGTGCAGTCCGAGAAGGCCAACCTGACCATCCTGTTCGATAAATACCTGCCCACCTGCTTGGACAAGCTGCGCTTTGGCTTCAAGAGGATTACGCCGGTGCCCGAGGTCACGGTCATCCAGATGATCCTGTACCTGCTGGAGTGCCTGCTCACCGAGAAGAACACGCCGCCCGACTCCCCCAAGGAGCTCTACGAGCTCTACTTTGTGTTCGCATGCCTCTGGGCTTTTGGTGGTGCCATGTTCCAGGACCAGGTCAGGGGCGCCGAGGGACCGGCCACCCCAAAGGTGGTCCCCTAGTCCCCCTCTTAGCTGGACCATTTTCTGCCTTTGTGTTTCGACAGCTTGTAGACTATCGAGTTGAGTTCAGCAAATGGTGGATCAATGAGTTTAAAACCATCAAGTTCCCCTCCCAGGGAACAGTTTTTGACTACTACATCGATCCTGACTCTAAGAAGTTCCTGCCATGGACGGATAAAGTGCCCCACTTTGAGCTGGATCTTGATGTCCCCCTACAGGTGCCCGTCCCCAGCGTGGGGACCCAGGGCAGGCCGTGCGCAGCCGTGGCACCGGGAGACAGCGAGTGTATGGTCTGACCCTCACCCGTTCTGCCTCCGTCCAGGCCTCTCTGGTCCACACCACAGAGACCACACGCATCCGCTACTTCATGGACCTCCTCGTGGGGAAGTCGTGGCCAGTGATGCTGGTGGGGAACACGGGCTCCGGCAAGTCCGTGCTGATGGGGGAGAAGCTGGAGAGCCTGGGCACGGACGACTACCTGGTGCAGGCCGTGCCGTTCAACTTCTACACCACCTCTGCCATGCTGCAGGGTGAGCCCCAGCGCAGGCGCAGGCACACCCTGCCCTCTGCACTCTGCCCGGGACGGGGCCCACCGCCGGCTCACTGCCATCACCGGCCACGCCCCTAGGGGGAGCACCTGAGTAGCAACCAGGCCCCTTGGAGGCCCCAGTTGGGAGCACCTCACACCCATCGGAGGTGGAACGGCCAGGAGCTTCTATACATCTGTTCGCTCCAGAGCTGCGTGCACCCCTGCCAGGCAGGGCATCCAGGGCACCCCAGTTCTGGCCCCCTCCTTTCCCGGGGGGTGGAGGGAGGGCAGCTCCTAGACCCCAGAGCCACCTGGAGGGACCAGCTTGGACCTGGGCAGTGGCTGACCCTGTGTCCTACCAGGAGTGCTCGAGAAGCCCCTGGAGAAGAAATCTGGGAGGAACTACGGGCCCCCGGGCAACAAGAAGCTGATCTACTTCATCGACGACATGAACATGCCCGAGGTGGACAAGTACGGGACAGTGGCCCCGCACACCCTCATCCGGCAGCACATGGACCACGGGCACTGGTAAGGCCGGCTGCGGGTTGTGAAGTGGGCTTCAGAGAGGCCCTGGCTGGGTCGGGGGCTCTGGAGGGCGAAGTGGGGCTGCCCAGGTGGAGTTGCTAGGCCCTGCGGAGGCCAAGGCAGGTTGAGGGGTGGTGGGGAGATCACAGGGCCGTGGGGCAGCGGCGAGCTGTCTCCCATCCTGTGGCCCAGTCCACAAAGACCGCGGGCTTTGGCCAGGAGCCCCGGGAGGCCATAGACAGGTCCCCACCAGGTGTTCCTACGTTACAGAAGAAAAGAGGTGCTCTTGGAGGGAAGGGACACCTCTAGGGAGCCCCGTTCCTCACAGACACCCCCACCCCTAAGCCTCCCTCACAGAGGCCCCTTCCAAGCCTCAAAGTGGCCCCCCCAGGCTCAAAAGCTCTAGTAAAATCCTCCTGGACGTTTGTGTCCGACCCCTGAAAAGGGCCCGGGTGTGGGGTGGACCCCAGCCACAACAGGCCCACACCTGCCCTTGAGGCTATGTGACCAACCTTCAGGAGGGTCACCAGGGCATATCTCTCTGAAGATCTCTCCAGTACCCGGCACCGGTGGTCCCACAGTGTGGGGAGGATGGGACCACAGCGGTGTGTGAGGCAGGGTCAGGGAAAGGCTGTTTGGAAAGCGTGTGGGAAGGGGACCTCGGGGAACTGAAACGCAGGAAGCCACAACGCCTGAGCCACAGACCCGCAGGTGTGGCTGGCCGAGCGTGGAGTCCACAGAGCAAACCCCTTCGCCCCATGGCTTCTCGGACAAAACTTTCAAAAACAAAAACTGGAAGGCAAAACACTGATGACTGTGATCAGAATTAAGGAATGTTGTTGGACCAGAAACAACGCAGGCAAATAGAATACAGTCACCAGCCTGGGAGGGAATGCTTGGCGATGTGCAAAACCCACTGTGGGTTAATATCAAGGGATCGGCGCAGTCATCAAGAGCAGCGACCTCCCGAAGAGGAAAGGAAACCGGTAATGTGGAAAAAAGCAAAATGTAACGAGCGCACAAAAACAGGAGTGCTGCTGGCTGGCCTCTCTTTGCTTGCTCTTACATGCTTGCTTTAAACTGAGGGAAGATGAGAGAATGAATCCGTGACCGTGTTAGGAATGAACTCTCTGAGGTCAGAAAGCCCGTGACCGTGTTAGGAATGAACTCTCTGAGGTCAGAAAGCCCCAAGTTAGCCTGTGATACTCGCTCGCCTTCTTTGCTATAGTCATCAGTGCATGTTCATTGTACAGAGTAATGGGTTTCACTGAAGGCTCACGAACTCTCGCCTTGAGACAATGCCCAGAAGTCTCATCAGGACCCCAATATCAAGGAGAACGCCCAGCCCACGGAAGAGCTGGCAGGAGTCAGGAGTCGGAGCGGCCCGGGGCAGTAGACGTTGATTGCACACGTACTACTTTTCGGGTGCCCTTGGGAGCGTTCTCCCCCGCTGTAGCTGGAGTCTTCATGGTGGCACAGAGGGGTTTGCCAGCTCACCCAGGCCCTGGCACTGCTTGGAACACAGGTGCCTTCTGGGCGCGCATCTGCCTCCCGTTTCCAGACCCCTCCTGAGGGCACAAAGTGAACTGGGCTGCGTCCCATGCCTTGCAGTCCCAGAACCGGAGGGCAGGTGAGCTCCCGAGCCTGGGATGTGCTGAGCACACCTCCCATCCCGCGCAGGTACGACCGGCAGAAACTGACTCTGAAGGACATTCACAACTGTCAGTACGTGGCCTGCATGAATCCCACCGCAGGCTCCTTCACCATCGACCCCAGACTGCAGGTGAGCAGCAGCCAGACTCCCCGCTGGGGTATTCGCCAGAGGACTCCCCGCCTTCGGGGATGTGTCGGGAGTCTGAGGCACAGCCTGTCCTCCTGCCCCCCGCCCAGGGCTGCCAGGCTTAGCACAAAAAGGCAGACTTCCACTTAAATCCGAGTTTCAGATACACCGCTAATGGTTTTTCAGGATACAGGGGATGATCAAAATAGACCGCGTTTAGATTTTTAAAAATGATTATAGCAAAAGACGCATTGTCTTGAATCCCTAAAAAAGTCTCCCCCTCCCTCATCCCACTTTCTTGCCACTTTCTGAAGCAGTTCTGGAAGTCCTCTTTCATGAGTGTCTCTATGAGGCGTGATCAAAAACGCGGTGAGTACTGCTGCTGAGCGCCATCTAACGAAAAGACAGGCTCGTAACAACATGGCAGTGTGTCCTCATTCACCTTCACCAAATGTGACGCCAGGCAACTGCTACCTCTTCCCAAAGTCAAAATGACCATGAAAAGGAAATTATTTATTTTAGTTTTTTATTTTTTGAGATAGGGGCTTGCTGTACACTTTAGGCTGGGCCTGAACTCACTATGTAGCCCAGGCTGGCCTTGAATGCACAGGGATCCTCCTGCCTCAGCCTCCTGAGTGCTGGAATTCCAGGCGTACAGGATTCTACAACCAGCTGGGAAATGTTTCAGATAGATTCAGGACATAGAGGCAGCCGCAACAGCACAACCAAAGACACTCACGAAAGAGGACTTCCAGACCTGCTTCAGGAAGTGGCAAGAAAGTGGGATGAAGGTGTTGAAAGCAACGGAGAGCTCTTGAAGGACTAACGGTGATGTGTCTTTTACGGGAATACATTTCTGAAAACGTAAACATTCACTGTCTATTTCAGTCACGCCTTGTAAGTATGTCCCAAACACTGTGTGAGGCACCGGAGGGACCTCAGCCCTAAACTGTCAAAGCACGACAGTGACTCACTCTTGTACCTCCTTCCTGGTGGCATGAAGTAAATGCGGCTGTCACATTTCTTCGGCTCTTAACGCAGCTGGACATTCAGAGTAGGAAAACTGTTTCTCCTACCCATGCCCAGACACGGGGCGATGAGGACAGGCTTTGCTCTTCCTGCCCCGCCCCTGGCGATCTCCTGACCCCAGTGTGCTCGTTCCTGCACAGCGTCACTTCTGCGTGTTGGCCGTGAGCTTCCCCGGCCAGGAGGCCCTCGTGACCATCTACAGCACCATCCTGTCGCAGCACCTGGCCTACCGCTCGGCCCCCACGGTCATCCAGAAGCTGAGCAGCCAGCTGGTGGCCTCCGCCCTGGGTACGCTGGCCGGCCCACTCCCCTCGCCTGGCGGTAAAACCTACTGCTTTAAGGGGCTGATGGTTCTTCTTATTTTCCCTTGGCGAATATTTTATTTATACTTGGAAATCAATACTTCTTAAATGATGCTATGTTTCAACAGGAGATATGTGAAATACAATGGCTTCAGGGGGAGGCAGAGGATAGGAAATTCAGCCATCTGATGATTTACAGTCCAATAACCAGGCTCCTCAGCCTCGGAGAGCTGTGTGGATTCCCTACTTAAATTGTCACCATTTCGTAGTCCATTTGCTTTAGAAACTTTCAGCTCGGCACTTCCTGAGGCCATTAAGAGTACCCAAGGATCAATGTGTCCTTTTCCTATAACAGCCTTGCATCAGCAAGTCGCAGCGACGTTTCTTCCCACCGCCATTAAGTTTCATTACGTCTTCAACCTCAGGGACCTCGCCAATATTTTTCAGGTACTGCTCTCCTGGCTTTATGTCGCGCCGCCTTGTGGCTTAGTCCCTGGCCCGTGATGACCTCCTCCTCTGGTGGTGGTGGTGACGGTGGAGGTGATCGTGTTTCCTCCTCTTCCTCTTCCTCCTCCTCCTCCTCCTCCATCTCTTCCATCTTCGCCTTCTTGCAGCCTTCAGGGTTGAAACCGCAGACTCCTGAGCTACAACCTTAGCCACATTTTTTCTTCTTATGAGACACTATCTTAGTCACTTTCTTCATCGCTAGGACAAAATATCCAACACCCAAACTTAGAGGAGGAGGCGTTTACTTTGGCTCACAATTCTTAGAGGATTCAGTGCATGGTCCGCTGGCTTCGAGGCAAGAAGGGCATGGCGGCAGGTCTGGCACCCAGGTAGCAGACACAAGGGAAGAGCCAGGAAGGCAGGTGCCCCCTTCCAGGGTACAGCCCGGCGACCCCTCAGCCGGCCCCCACCTCCTAACAGCGCGTTTAGTTCTGAACTCACCTGCAGAGGAACCCGCCTACGGCAACCCCATGATCCAGCCACCCTGTAGAAGCCCCACCTTGGAATGCGTGAGGCTTTCGGCCTCAGACCCTGCCGCTCGCAATTACTTTTCCTCCTCCAAACAGCACAGGAAGTTGACTCGCTTCTACCCACTTTACAGAATGGGGATCTGGACCCTGAGGGGGTGACGTCACCTCCCAGGGGCCCCTCACACCTCCACACGCACTGACTGCCCCGCACGGGGGCAGGGGCTCTTGTTCTCCACCACAGAGCTGCTGAAAACCCCACTGGACATCGTGCGCCTCTGGCTGCACGAAGCCGAACGTGTGTACAGTGACAAGATGGTGGACGAGAGGGACCAGGACGCCTTGCGCAGGGTCACCATTGCCTCCACCAAGAAGTTCTTTGATGTGAGTCGAGCTGCCAGGGCCCTCAGCTGAGCCCGGGGAGCACCAAGAGGGTGCCGGTCTGCCCCCCACCCGGGAGAGGCCTGGGGTGGTGACCAGACCGTCTGCTCAATTCCCACGTGGTGATTGGGTCCGCCCACCCCGATCCTGGAAGAGGCAGTTGTTTTGTGTGTTGAGACAGGCTCTCACTTTATAGTTCAGGCCGGCCTTGAACTCACAGCGATCCTCCTGCCTCAGCCTCTAAGCGCTGAGATTATCGGTGTGCCTCACTATTCGGGAGGAGTTAACCACTCAGGCAGTGGCCTCCCGCTGTGCCCTTGTGGGAGAAAGGCTCCCTTCCTGTGTCATTTGGGGCGCTCGCTTGGACCATCCACTTGTTATTCCATGTGGCACAGGGGAGCAAGAATGACCAAAGCCACCAGAGCTCTTTGCCCAGTGGTTTGGGGGCTGACAGCAGCCACAGTTTTGGTCTCTGGAGACCTGGCCTGGCACCCTAGGCCGCCTTGGCCAGCCCTGGGGCCACTGTTCAGTGTCTGTGTGTCTGTGCAGCAAAAATGAGGGGGATCTTCTCTGGTGTTCTCCTAGGACCTTGGTGAAGAGCTCTTGTTCGACAGACCAAATATCTTCTGCCACTTTGCTCAGGGGATTGGAGATCCCAAATACTTCTCGGTCACCGACGTGGCTCATCTGAATAAGCTGCTGGTGGATGCCCTGGACAGTTACAACGAAGTGAATGCGGTCATGAACTTGGTGAGTGGTGGGACCTCGGTTTCCTCCCCTGCCTCCATAGGCAGCCTTCCCGCCGCCTCGGTGGGGCTGCGCGCAAGACCCCCAGCGGGGCTGGGCACCCCACACACGCCCCGGTGGTCAAGTATAACTTACCAACTAGGCACAGCGGGGGATTAACAATCGTCGCCGATAATCAAATAGGACAGCTACAGCAGTGGACTGTAACAACGGTCATTCACAACTTCTGAACTGGTTCTTCCTGGAGTTTTGAGCGTCTGTTTTCAGACAGGGTGGGCTATGAATAACTGGAGCCAGAGAACTACAGACCCCCAGATGGTGTCCTCCGGGGCTGTGTCCAATGCGGGGCCCGCTGAGGGGCTGGCAGGCGCCTGTGCTGTCCCTGAGCTGACCCCGGCTCCCTGCAGGTGCTGTTTGAAGACGCGGTGGCCCACGTCTGCAGGATCAACCGCATCCTGGAGTCTCCCCGCGGGAACGCCTTGCTGGTGGGGGTGGGCGGCAGCGGAAAGCAGAGCCTCTCGCGCCTGGCCGCGTACATCAGCGCCCTGGACGTGTTCCAGATCACCCTCAAGAAGGGCTACGGGATCCCGGACCTCAAGGTGAGGGCAAGGCCACTCTGGGGGGGCAGACGCAGAGGGAGCCAGCACAGGGACCACCACCACAGCCTGTACCCAGAGCATCTATTTCTTAAAAAGTGAAGTTCCAGGCCGGGTACGAGGTGACGCGGCTCAAAATCCCAGCTACTTGGGAGGCTGAGGCAGGAGGATTGTAGGAGGCCAGCCTGGGCAATTTAGTGAGATCCTGCCTCAAAGAAATGAGGACATGGCTCAGCAATCCCTTTGTTGAATCCCAGTACCCCAAAGAAAAGAAAGGAGAAAGGAGAGGCCAGGGAGAGGAGGGAGAAAGAGGGCCTCTCGCCCACCCAGCCCAGTGATTTGCCTGGCAGTCAGCAGCGGGCAGGGGAGCCAAGGGATGGGATTCCGGCCCTGGGTCACAGGGTGTCTAAATTGTCCCGGTTCTCCAGATTAAAGAGTTCAGAGCCATCCCTGGGCATCTCACCACAAGCCTGAGATTCCGAGGGCCGCATTTGGAATTAATTAAATAAACATTAGTGGAAATTGGTCTCCCATGCCCGAGGCGTGCTGCTCAGGCTTTCTATTGATTTCTCCTTCCCGAAAATCCACCCTCCCAGGAAGCCGGGAGACAGTCAAACACTATTAGTCCACAGTGAGCCATCAGAGTGCTTGAGAGGAGGCCTGAAATTGATCCAGCCCCACAGTGGGGCTGCCCGAGGGCCCCGGGCAGTGGCAGGTCAGGGTCTGGCTGGGGCCCCAAGCCCGGGCGCTGGGCTGCGTGCAGGCCGCTGAGGACAGTGTCGTGCGGGCTGGACAGCCACCCTGGGCAAGCCTCCAGCTCCCCTGGATTGTCCTCCACTTCCCGGCGGCTTCAACTCTCTGCGTAAAGGGCAACTCTATTTTTAAATCCCAGCGATAAGGGAAAAGGCCTCTTAGACAGGGCTTCCCGAACATGCTCTCAGAATCGCAGCGACGGTGTTGTCCTGCGTTTGCTCTGTGGAAGCTCCCAGCCTCTGGGCCGGGTGCTACTGGTTTCTGTCGCTCCTTGCTCGCTCTCTCTCGCTCTCACACTCTCTGGGCACCTGGTTCCCGGTTCCTCGCTTCAAGGCCAGTCTGGGGTGGTCAGTCTTAGTGCTTCCACCGTGGGCCTCGGCCCTGGCAGCTGCCACCCACGGCCTAGCACGCTTCACCCCACACCCATCTGGAGATCTTGCTTTTTTTTGTTTTCTGCTACCGGGGCTCAAACTCGGGACCTTTCATGTGCGAGGCAGGCGGCGACACCACTGAGCTAAATCCCCCGCCCTCTTTTGCTATTTATTAAGCAGCCTCTGTGCACCTGGAGCTTAGAACAGGGACAAGCGGGGCCTGGGGCCATGGGAGACAACAGAGGCCTGAGCAGTTATAGCACCGCAGTGGCATCCTAACCCCCTGCACGTCTTCTCCATGCACCATGCACGGTCACGGTGCTTGTTAATACCTCACCACACGGTGCATCCTGGTCCTGGAGCCGTGGGTGCCCAGGACAGGTTACAGACGCAGCAGGAGAGGGCCAGAAAGTGGCCCCTGAAGGCTGTCGTGTGGTATCTGGAAACCCCTGGGCTTGGTCTCAGGAAAACAAGTCTGCCCAGAGGAGGGGTGGGGACACGCTGGGGACACGGAGGTGGCAGGAGACGGCAGAGAGTGTGGGGAGCTAGGCTAGATCCCTCAGGACCAGGTTGTACCCCACCCTCTCCGCGCCCCACGCATTCCCCACAGCCAGGTCTCCAGGGCTGGGAGCCTCCCTGAGGTCCCCACCACGCTGTCAGTCTGGGCTGTGATGAGAAGCCACCCTTCTGCCCGTCCCAAACTTGGCTCCACGCTCCGCCCTCTCTCCGGAAGATGACACTGGCAAGAGAACGTGCCACCCGGGATGCTCCGGTCCTCTCACCCCGGGGAGGGACGGCGTAATGCTTCATGGGGACAGTGACGAGAGCACACGGGGAACCGTGGCGCAGGCAGTGCAGGGGGGAGGCTGGGAGTCTCCTTTCCCAGGGCTGGCATCTGGGATGGGGCCATACAGGGAGACGGGCGACACTGGGGTTCAGAAGGGCAGGAGCGGGTGGGATGTAGGGGCCATAGGCATCGGCAGGGGAGAACAGATGGTGCACGGGTGGGCTGGGCAAGGGACGGTGAGGCAGAGAAGCGCTCCAGTGGGGGTGTTGCCCTGCAAGCCCTCAGTGTCAGGCTCAGGAGGATGGGGTTCTCGCAGGGGTGTGGAGGAGACAGCCAGGCAGCCAGGAGTCCTGAAAGACGTCTTCTCCCAGCGGGGCAGCCCGGCTCCACGCCAGGCCTGTGAGCCGAAGTCTCTCCAGAGCCCATTAGCCCTGCTGGGTGGGCAGGGTCACTTGCCCACTCTCTTCACCCGATTCAAACTCCTCTCTGGGTTGGCAGCTGAAAGCCAGCTTCTGGGTCCCTGGTTCTGGTCTCGCAGCCTCCAGCCTGGCTGCTCGATAACCCTGACAGTGAGAACGGCTGTAGTACAGGCTGTAGCCCAGGCTGTAGCCCAAAGTGGTCTCAAACTCACGGTGATCCTCCTGCCTCAGCCTCCCAAGTGCTGGAATTGCAGGTGTGCACCACCATCCCCTGCTTTTTAAAAATAAGTTTAGCCTGTCAAAACTATGGAATTTGAAGCTTGCCTTTGACCCCCATCACATTCCAGTCAACTTCAAAGGGAAGACCTTGCAGGGCTTCTCTGAACAGGAGACTCCCAGAGATTGGACTCAAACCCAGGGGATAAAACTAAGCCACGCACAGCCCCTGCTTTTTAAAGTCTTTTACAAAATCACAGAGGCCCGTATGTCCTATTAAAAATAGTTTCTACAGACAAGACACCAAAACCCTGAAAGTTCATTCTCCGCCTCCCCAGTACTAGAAATTGAATGCAGGGCGTTCATGCTGAGCTATATCTCCTGCCTTTATCTTGAGGCAAGCTCTTGCTAGGTTGCCTGGGCTGGGCTCGAACTTGTGACCCTCCTGCCTCAGCCTCCCAGAGTACTGGGATTACAGGTGTGTGCACCACCGTGCGAGACGAAAGTTCCCATCAATACTTGGAAATATAATTCCTCCCTCCCTCCTCCCTTTTTTCTTTCCTTCATTCCTCCTTCCTGCTCTCCTTTTTTTGCAGCTTGGGGGATAGAAGCCAGGGCCTCACATGCACACACACTAGGCAAGCCCTTGACCATTAGACAGCATCCCGAACCCTGGACGCTTCTTAGTGCAACGTGTGCGTGCATTTGTTTCCGAAAGTAGCAAGCTCTTCCCATTCTGTGACGCGCTTTGTTTTTTAACTCTTCGTTTACTCTTACAGAATCACTAGAAAGTCATTTTGTCCAGTGCGTCCTGGAAGGAGTTGTGTGTGTGGCTTGCTCTGAGGAGGACTCACGCTTCCCCGGGGTGGGGTCCCTCAGTGCCCGAGCCTGGGCTGCGCTCCCTGGGCCTCTCTGAGGGCTTCTCTCTGTGGTAGGAGGCACACGGTGGGCAGCCTGCCCGCGCCGTGTCTAGTGCACAGTGCAGTGGTGCCGGCCGTTCACACGGGCACGACCGGGACCCCTCTCTGTCTCCGGAACGCTTCTCGTCTTGGACATCTGGAGCCCTTTCCTCACTACAGCCTCCACTTCCTCCTCGCGGCCCCTGGCCACCCCCTCTCTACGGTCTGTCTCCGGCGCGGAATCGCAGTGTTTGTCCTTCTGTGCCCTCTTCTTTCACTTAGGGTCACGTCCTCCAGGTTGTCCAGGGTGTGGCACATGTCAGAACTTCTCATGTTTCAGGACTAGGGACTGAACTCGGGGCCTTTACACAGAGCCACGTCTCCAGTTATTTTTATTTTTTGAGATAGCGTCTCCCTGAGTCCCTGAGATGCCCGGGCTGGCTCGTATTCACAGTCCTCCTGCCTCCACCTCCCCAGATGCTGGAATTACAGGCACGCATCACCGTACCTGGCCGTCCTTGTTAAGGCTGAAACCGTTTCATCCCACGGCCCCACCATGGCCCAACACCCGCTCTGGCCGCCACGAACACGGCCGTGCCCCACTCACGGGTTCGGTCCCTCGGCAGACCCGCCCCACCCCAGGAAGGTGGCCCAGTGTGGGTCCTGGGCAGCTGCCCAGGGTCGTCCCTCAGGGAGCCCCTGTGCTGCTGGTTCCCTCCAGATGGACTTGGCCGCCCAGTACATCAAGGCCGCTGTGAAGAACGTGCCCTCGGTGTTCCTGATGACCGACTCCCAGGTGGCCGAGGAGCAGTTTCTGGTGCTGATCAATGACCTGCTGGCCTCGGGGGAGATCCCGGGGCTGTTCACAGACGACGAGGTGGAGAACATCATAGCCTCCATGCGGCCGCAGGTGAAGTCACTCGGCATAGCCGACACGCGGGAGGCCTGCTGGAAGTTCTTCATCGAGAAAGTGCGCAGGCAGCTCAAGGGGGGCACGGC